GCGACTCGGTGACCGTCTGCCCACGACCGGCTGGCGTGCTGAATGGAATATTCCCGTGCGACCCTTGTGAACCTTTCCCGTATTAAGGGCGGTTCAAACAGACTCGGAATACGGAACCCGGGAGCCGGAAACCGTACTGACGTAATCACTTCCGGCTCCCGTTTACGGGCGCTGACGTCGCGGTTTGGTTTGAACGGCGCGCGACACGGGTCTCCGCAAAATGTAGCTGACGTCACGGCGGCTCCCCAGGCAACCAATCAGCGGCTGTCGTCAAGCCGAGTCGTCGCCCGGGCAGCCCGGGCAGCCCGGGTATGGTGCCGGTAGCCCGGGCGCGCGGCGCGCTCTGTCTAGAGCGGCACCGGCGGCACCGCGGCACTCGCTTTGTTTCTTGATGGCGTCGTCTCGGCAGGATCCCGGCTACGAAGCTCGAATTGCCTCACTTATGAACCTTTGTGTAGTGAGGTGCGTTACAAATGCAAGAACTATCAACTGGCGTCGGCTGACTACTTTCGCGGCTGCGTGTGAGCAGTACCTACGGAGCGTGAGGAAAAAGAAGACGCGAAAGGCCGTCCGCGAGCTCCTGAAGCCTCGAAAAATGCTCGACGAGTATGCCATCATCGTGAGACTACAGTCCTACAGTGTTGTGAGACAGATGTTCGAAGACCCCGACGACCGGGAATTCTTTGAGTGCTTCCGAATGTCACGAGCAAGGTAGGGTGTGCTGCTTTTTATGTTAGATCATTTTCATGCTATATATCAAGTGGCGTTCCACATGGGCCCGCGCGTCGCTCGCAGGAATACTCACCTGGAGCGTGCGCTCCCGCAGTGAAAGCACGTTTATATCATTTTTAACGCGGCAGGATCACGAGAGCAGCTTTTGTAACAGTCGCATGCTTGTCAAAGTTTAGTGCGTCTGTGCTATAAAAAAGAAATAGCAATAGCATGCTCATGTGCAGCTCGTACGACACACTCTTTCGGTCCACAAAATCTGGTCACGGTGTTGTGCTCCTTTGAGTGCATGTATGAGGGAAGCCCGTTGTGCTTCCTTGTCGTTTGTGCTAGATAGGATGTGTGCTTACAAGCTTTCTGCACGAAAGCTCGCGCTGCAGAACCCAGGGATATTGGGTTCAATCCCCACTTCTGCCCGTTTCGATCTGGATGAGCATCGTACCAGCAGACGTTCGTGTTTCACTACTGCGTGACGGGTGTTAAAGGGACACTGACACGTCAAAATCATACTTTTTTAATTATCCGAAACGATTGAAAACAATGCCGGGACATTGCCCTCAAATTTCGAAACTTGGGAATTCAGTATTTCTTAATTAAAAAAACAATTTCCAAATGCCGAATTTGAAGTTCCCGCGTGATCTGCACCAGTGCAGTGAGTTAAATTTTGCGGTCTCCTGCGACTCGACTTTCTTTGGGACCTCCGCCGTTGCCACCGCAACCCGAGGCGAGGAGGAGGTGAGCAGGCGGGATAGAAGCCGGCGCGGGAAAAAACCGGTTTCTTCGCCGTCCAGAGCCGTACTGTCCCCGTCTGGCCGTTAGCGCCGCCAAGTTTTCCGAGGGGGGTTACAAATCCAGGAAGCGACATCACACCGAAATCTGATTTTTGGTATTTCAAAAAAGAAGGCCGTACTGCGTTCGTCATTGCATTAAAAAACGTGTTTTACGATTGCTGTTATTAAATGTTATAGAAATGTCGCCTACAAAGCTTCTAAATTCCCAGATTTTTGACGTCACCGATCAAAAGAAGCAAGGAGGTTAGCGCGGGAAATATAAACGCCAAAAATAAAAAGGCGCGCGCGCGGTCGAGAAAATTTTTTTCGCGATGCGGTTTTTTTTTTTTTGCGTGTCTATGACTACAACTTGCATCGTTTTAGACAATAAAAAATAATACGACCTTTGGGGTGTGAGTGCCCCTTTAAAGACCCTAGGCTACACTCTAAAAAAAAAGGTGTCGAAGGAGAGTAACTGCCCGAACTTACAGTTCTCTAACTCTCTCTTCCTAAAAGTTACTCTTTTCCAAGCGCCTCCCGCAATGATACTCTACTCTAAGCCCTAGAGTAACTACAGCGAGAGTAAGTTTCTCCTCCCGACATTGTAGACTGCAGCGACAGATGGCGCAGGTATGCGTGCTGGCGTCGTTGGCGGTGCTGGCCTTGGCGCAATGCTTGCGGGCATTGTGCTGGCAGGCGACAGATGGCGCAGCAAAGTGTGCTGGCGTGCTGGCGTAGAGTGCCTCAATGTTGTTGGCCGCTGCGCCGCAGCGGCCAACAACATTGAGGCACTTTATGCTGGCGATGCTGGTGCCGTTCGCGATGCTGGCTTTGGCGTAATGCGGGCGGGCTCTGTGCTGGCGAAAACGTCTGTAACCGTCTGGAATATTTTTTTTTCTTTTAGTAGACGTATGTATGCATTCAGTTAATGGACTCCTCTGTCATGTGCAGTCTTTGTGGAAACGTAACTTACCAGACTATCTGGAGATTTCCATTTTCAGGCTATTCCTCTCTAACTTCACTATGCGGCAGGTAAGTCGTCTGCTAGTTGCGCAGCTCGGTACGTTCGTTTATCCCCCTGAATGCTGTCACGCCCTCCTGTTTACCCTCAGTATTCACAAAGGCGTAAAGCAACCCTCTGTACCACCTTGTCCTTTTGTGACCGGTAGTGAACTTTCTGTACCGGGCAAAGTGGAAACTGACGAAATTTCTAAGACTGGCAATACTATGTCAATACAAACTATGAAAAGTTCAAGGGGACGTCCCTTATCAAGGCTGCCAAGTTCGCCGGATTTTCGATCCCTGGCCTCAAGGCCCAAGAATTTGTGAAATTTTGTTGCTGCAAGTTTTGCTTCCTGTGCCAGAATAATTCGCGAATATTAGCAGCCACTAATATGCCGCGAAATTGGAGTGCTTTGCAAAATGCAAAAAGTAAAAAAAAAAAAAAAAATTCGCGCTTTTCGGCGATTTTTTCGAAAAACAATTAAAAAATAAAAAAGAAAATAAAACAACCTTTCCAACGTATTTAAAACGCTATTTACACAACACGCCGTCCTTCTGGCTTCGGAAAGTTATTGTCCTTACGATAAGCGTGCGAGTCTCCAGCTCCGTCGTCTGCTACTGCAAAACTGACCGAGCACGGGCGTCTCACCATGGGTAGATATAAAGCGGCCGCTGTCCGGCGAAACTTCAGCCGAAGAGCCCCACGCTGTGACCATTCCAATATTTACCCCTCGAAGGGAGGGGGGGGGGGGGAGGGGAGAGGAGGAGGAGGAGGGGAGGGGGGGGGGACGGCGGCTGTGGAGCCCGTTTTAAGTAAGCATGCGTTTAAAGGGCCCATGAAACGAATTTTGGGGGCTGGAATAAATCAATTTAGATTGGGATTTTACTACTAGCACATCGTTCAGTGGGCCAAAAGAAAAAAGTAGAAAGTCAAAAGCCTAACTTTCGGTACGAAAAATTGAAAACACTGTGGCTATTTCGTACCTCCTTCCCTTCATAAGCTCTCTGCCTTTTCACTGGGATACATCCGCGGACCCCGCAGCGCGTCACCGGCTGCAGACCCACGTCACACGACGCCGGACCTCACTTATTCCCTTAACCCCTAAGCTGACATTGCGGTGGAAGCTACGCGCTTGTCGGACCAATCAGCCGCCCCCCTTTGATCACCTCACTTCATTCTTTGCGCGTGGGTATGCGCAAGAGAGCGAGATCACGAGGCAAAAGCTTGGATGGCCCAAGGAGCACGCAGCTTCCACAGCACTTTCAGCTTCGGGGTGAACGGGGGTGTGGAAAGCAACTTTGGTCTGAATTTTGAGCGACGGGATAATCTTCTAGGGGGAGAATGGATGTGTCCGGATTACACAAACGAGAGTCCGAGCAAGACGGGACTCCCCCTTTCCGTCTTCTTGAACTTTTTGGTATAAAAAAAAAAAAAAAGTTGGTTTGAGGAGGAAAGTTAAACAGGAAAAAGTTGGAAAAGCGTTTCATGACTCCTTTAATGCTCGGTTACCTGCCATTTTTAGCCAGAAAATGCCTGGTCTAAGGAAAAAAAAGTAAAGTCAAGATTTAAAATGCATCCAGGCTAGCGCGCATGTTCTCACACAAAAAGAGGACGAGTCTTTAGTTGTTTTTATTACATTTATTGCATCTACAATGTTACTTGATAACACACACATGTATGAAAGAAACAATCAAAGTATGTCTCAATTGGCACTTAAATGTACAAACGATATCAACAAAAAACAAACAGAATTCTGTATTTCATTTGCACAGGTAACTGTAGCAACACAATAAACCATTTGCTATACCCCCCGAGCGCCACGGCCCGCTCTAAAAGAATCATGGGAACGGTGATCCTTCAGCTCCTTAATGATCGGTAATTTCGACTTTATTTTTGGTTACACAGGTTTCGAGCGCAATTCGAATTCACCCTGAACAAGCGCCTGATATACCCCAATGACCCGTCATATCGCTTTTAAAATTTCTCCTCAGTGTCAGCGTTTTGTATGCTGTGCATGCTGTCCACCCTTCAATCTGGGTGACTGCAGAAATCTCCTACATTATTACCATGCTGATATTAACTTAGAAACGCTAAAAATGGTATAAACAGCCCCCCCCCCCCCCCACACACACACACACACACTTCGAGCTAAATCCTGTTTTTTGTTGTGAATTATCGGCTTTTTAAGCAATTCCTGCTCAGACAACAATCACGAGAATGATAATATTCTAAAAGATTTCGGCAGCTCAGGCCAGGATGAAAGAGGGATCGCATGCGCAGTATCGAAAATGCTGACATTGACGAGCAATTTTAAAAGTGAAATCCTTGGGGTACATCAGGCTCTTGTTCAGGGTGCCTACGAATTACGCTCATGAGTTGTGTGACCATGGGGTCGGTCGAAAATTAGCAGTCACTAAGGAGCTGAAGGAACACCGTTCCCAAGATTCCTCAAGTGCGGTCCGGGGCGCTTGGGAATATAGCAAGTTATATTGCGAGCACTAAACCCCCTCGTACAGTTCGAAGTAGGGAATAACTTCGTTCCCATTTGGTGTGCGGTACAAGTCAAGCGCATGGTAATCACACTGTTCTTTTGGGTTAAACAAGCAGTACTTGTTCAAGTGAACGACTTGGTAACTCTGCCTATGGCGACGAAATCGAACAGTGTGTAGCTTTTGAACAAAAATCAAGAGAGAGCCTCGAAACACGATCATTAAAAATATCTGTGAAAATGCCGGCAGCTCGTCTTCCCAGCCAGTGCAGTGTGCATCCCCATTTCGGTACTGACATTTATCGAAAGTCGCGGACTTCACACTGTACATGGCTTCGTCTGGTGTTGGTTGCTCAGGGAACAGGTCTCGCACATTTTCGTCCAGTGATTCCCAACTAAGCTTCTTTCCACATGACGTGCTGAGTGGCTCATCGAGCTGAAGGCATGAAAATTCATAACACTGTTTTGCTTGATATCGTGTAGCCACCGTCTTGCACACGTTCTTGAAGTTTCGCGAACGAGTAGCGATGGCCTTAAAGTAGGCGTGTTTGGCTTCAAAACGCATGCTCCAATAGCGGCGTGGAGGCCCGAACATTCTAATCAAACGAGGATAATGCAGAAGGTAATGAAGTTTCGGTGTTAGTTTCGAGCCCGGATAAAGGTTAACAAATTCGCTGAGGAATTCATCGACTAGAATTTCAAGAAAAGCAACAGCGTCCTCAAGAATAGTGTCGGCTAGAACAATGTTAACAATTTCTCTGTACTTCAGATAGATCTCCCAATGTCTGTTTCCTTCGGGTATGTCTTCGCCAAGCAGCTGCGGCAACAAACGGAACAAACAGCACTTTTGACTCGCAGTGCCTTTGAGTTTGCCATCAGCTCTGTTGGTACAAGGTGGTTTGGATTTTTTGTCATGAAACCCAAACTCAAACTCGAAAATCACGTCGAAACAAGTAGACTCGAGAACTCGAGTAGACATTAATCCCTTCAGCACTCGTTTCAACACAAATGCAATGCCACCTTCCAGCACATCGTGCATCGCATCCGGAAGCAGCTGAACTGACACACCAAATCCTGGCAAAGCCAGTAGCGGAGATTTTGCTTTCACCCCATACAACTTGGAGCTGGCTGGATTTACTTCTACTGCCGCTACTTGGCTCTTTTGTGCATCCGCAGTGCGGATAATACATTGACCCTCGTTGGACAGTCGCCTCAGGTCTTTGGATGATGCTAAGCAGAATCTGCAAATCTTTCCTTTCGAAAAGCAGCAATTAAAGCCACCTACGCGATGCAAAGAAAGGTTATCCCCAACAACACCCACGACTGTCACCGTTACGTGATGTGTGACCCCGTCATCGCACAGATCAAAACCGGTCTCACTGAGCAAACTTAAATCAGAAAGAAGGGGATCCAGGATCTGCTGCAATCCGAACGTTTTTACGTCTGAGTATTTTACTACGGCTAGGAGGTGCATTGAAGAGAGCTGGGACCTGTACTTAGGGTGCAAATTAACTACGGAAAAATACACTACAAGCAATTTGTGCACTCCGGTAGCTGACCCCAGGGGATTGACAATCTCCAGCTCGTCAGTGTAGAGTAAAATGAAAATCGTGTCTTGAGAACCGTCACGCACAAGCGCTCTAGTAAAGGTTCCATCAGTTATGTCTTTCAACATTCCTCTGCCTGACGCCGCCATTGAGCCAAGAATGTGCTCAGCAGCGTCGGTGGTCATCAAATTCGTCAGAACACTTTGAAAGGGTACATAGTAAAAAGCACTCTTTTTGGCGGCAGGGGTCCCAGGAACAGTTAACGCTATTTCTTTGGGCTCGACATACAACATGCACTGCTTGGCATATTTCAAGCGCGCAGATTCGCTCCTTACATCTGTCCAAATTAAATCAATCCAACCCTCGCTAAACAGCCATCCCAGTGCATCAGGCATGCTCACCTCGTGATCGGCAGAAACATGATCTCGAAGGACCCCATGTAGGAGTTGGAGAAATGTTTTCAACTCCGCAGTTGCTGCTTGTCTGGCAACCCTGCTTTCTCCTCTCGACGTTTGCAATTCTCGGAGCGAGAAGGAAGCGAGAGAGGCTGCGCCAAGGCGTTCGTTGCTTGCAATGGGAGGCGAGAGGAGGAAAGGCGCATGGAGCAACAGAGCGGGCGCCTGCTCTCCTGCAGGCAACATTGGCGCATATCCTTTCTCGAATCCTCTCCCTCAGGCGCCGCCATTAAATTACAAACGCGCTCCAGGTTTTGAGTTGCGCCCACCCTCACTACAGCCTCCCTACTAAAATGTCATTCGGTGAAACGTGGGAGTTCGCTAAAATGATCATTCGATCAAGTGAGTGCCTCCAACTACACCCGCTGCACGGGAGCGCTCGTGCCGCGTGATCCAAAGCAACTACTCGCGCTTTTAGCGCTGTCCTCGACAACATTTTTTTTTTCGGTGTTTAGTGTTAATTGTAAATAAGAAATGTCGTAAATTTAGCCAAATTCTCCAACAAAACAAAATGTTTGGAAAAAAGAAAAAAGAGTCACCACTGAGGATCGAACCCACGACTACTTGCGTATGATGCAGACACCTTAATCATTAAACTACGCTAAAGCTTTGAATACCACATTTTGACAATTCGATTTATACGAGACTTTCGGACGCAGAGTACCGTAACGTGGTGCACCGTCAGACGGCACTTGAACGCTCTGCAAACGTGCCGTCGGACGGTACTCTAGTCACTACGAATCTTCTTTTGCAACAGGAGTGACCGATGGCAGCGGGCGAACGAAATTGGAAAACACTGTTTCTGGATGTCGGCAATTGATACGCAACGAGCACAGGCGGTACGTCGACACACCAGCGAGTACGCCGCCGAACCGCCGAGCACCCCACCACGCGCACACACACGCAGACCGACTGACGCTTCAAAATGCAGTCGGCGGCACCCAAAATAAAACGTGTTTACTTCAAAGAACACCAAATAGAATGGACCTTTTCCGAGAAGCGTTCTGCGCACGCGCGAGCGCCGATGCTAAGCCAAACGAAAAATCGAGGAAATTCGGAAGGAGGCGGTATATCAGCGAGTAGAACACGCAACTGCACCATATATATAATTGTGTTACACAAAAAAAGAACGTCGACGGAAAGAAAAACACGACGTTTGAGTGGACGCCACGGATGCCCCTCTTTCAAGTCGCGTTGGGCAAGTGCTGCTGCTCAGAGAGCGAAGAAACTGGTAGCGTAGCTCCCATTATCGATTGGTAGCGCAGGTAGGTCACTTCCTCGATTTTTAGTTCGTGCAGCCACCGCCTGGTGCCGTCGGTATGTGGTTTGGACGTCTGTGACGTCATTGGCCGCGCCCTTTTCATATCTCTTTTATCCCCCTATCCCTTCACCCCTTCTCTCATTCTTTATCAATAAACAATGTTTTCAACAACAACAACCCTGAAAATCAAATCGGTGCCGAAAATACGGGGATACGGTCCATTCGTCCTATGCGCACTCGTCACAGGACGATTAGTCACAGGACGATTTGTCACACAGGAACATTCGTCATAGGATGACTCGTCACGCGGCCAACCGGTCCTACAATAGTTCGTCCCCCCTAAAATGTACTGCTCAATTTGGTCCGGCGGACAATGTGTCTCACCTCATATCTTAGCATGTCTTTGGCTTCTGAAAAGCGAAGAATTTGTAACAAACGTTTTAGCTTCTGGTTCGGTCTCGAACATTGAATGTTGGTTCGGCCTGACAATGTGAGTCACCTCTTATCTTAGCAAGTCTTTCGCTTCTCAAGGTCGAAAAAGTTGTAACAAACGTTTTAGCTTCTGGGTTCCTCCCGAACGGTGAAGCCTAAAGGCGAAGGCCATATGAAAGCGACTATTTTTTAACTCAGTCTACATTCAAAAGGATGGAGGTCATCGCAACAGAGAAAGGTGGAGCCATGCAGCTGCACGAGGGGTACTCGTACACATGCAGTAGAAACAATTTCGATACTTATTGGTTTTCTCGCAGAGGTGTTTGCAAGGCAAAGTAAAAACATATTTGGCTGCCAGTCCGATTATGGCTCGTTCAAGCCAGCAACTGCGGTCAACCTCTTGAGGAGTCGTAATATGATGAAAGCAAAAGCGAATGAGTATTCTAAGATTAGTTTTTCTAACCGTTGGTTTATATCACAGTGGGAAGTCGTGAAATTCCTCATCAGGGAATGTGGAGAGTTGTTAAAAAGCTACAATTTACTATCGTCCCCTGCCCTATCATGGTGACCAGTTGCCCGCATGACGAGTCATCCAGTGACGAATGTTCCTATGTGACGAATTGTCCTGTGACCAATCGTCCTGTGACGAGTGCGCATATGACGAATTGTCCTCATCCCGAAAATACGCACCCCGATTCTTTTGGGAAGTTTGGCAAAAGTTTGCCTTTGTCGAATCCCGAGATTCGGCGTCGCATTTTCGATTCGGCAAAGGTTCAGCCCATCACTAATCACTGATATGTAGGGCCGAACTTTTGCCGAATCGTGTCCCGCAGAACACACTAATATTTGGTTCACACTAGCGGAAAAAAACACTTGCCGTCGACCGAATTCGCTCGCCGAACGCGGTCGCGTAAGCGTGTGCTTATAACTAACACACCAAAAAATATATATATATTTTAGGCGTTAATTAATGTATCAAAGCATCACGAAAAAAAATTTCTTTTTTTAATAGTTTTACAGTTTTTTTTATGATTCCCGAAATATGAAGCCCAATTCAAAGTTCCCGCCAGTGGAACTGAATAACGAAAAATAAAATAAAAATCTTCGGCACGGCCGCGGAAAGCACGAGGAGTGAGACCCACGTGACTTCCCGCAACCCTCCATTTAGTGACTGTCGGTTCCTTCCCTCTGACATTTTGGGGTACAACCAGAAATTTGAAGCCCTATTCAAAGTTCCCTCCAGTACATGTGCGCAAGTGTGTTTGGGCCTTGGGCCAATCGCTAATCTGTGGATTCAGCTCAGTAAATGCTGAAGCTGAATATATAGGTCTAGACCAGGGGTGGCCAGGCTGACCCGGCCTAAGAGCCGCAAACAAAACCACGAAACTTCCAAGAGCCGCGGGGGGGGGGGGGGGGGGGGGCAAACTTTTGTCCAGATCAATAAACAAAACTCAAACAACTTTCAAGGTAGCAGTAGCACAAGACTACCAAATTGCAACCTGTCTTTCGATTTAAAATAAGTTCCATTGTGTGACCAGGAGGGAGGCGGATGAGTGGGTTTGGGGGGTGTGCAGGGGAGGGTGCTGCGAGCCGCACTTTAATATGCGAAGAGCCGCAGCTTGGCCACCCTTAGTCTAGACCAAAAAATTAAATCTGCGCTATGACATTAAGCAATGCAAAGTTCGGCCTCGCCATTTCCCTAGCTGCCTCCATATTAATCTTACGTGGTTATGTGACACACAGTGACATAATCCCGAATATCTTAATTGAACGTTAAAATTTCAGATAAGTTTCACAGCAGTTACGAAGAAACGTTTACGCAGTTACAAGATGCTGCAAAGTGCTTCACATTTCAACTAGAATGTGGAGAGATTTTGTCTGCAGTTTTCTGTTTCTTATTTAATATATCACTCTCGGCTTTCTAGAGGGAGTGAATTAGTGATTTGGAAAGCAAACAGATCTATATCAATCTTCACATCAAACTTGCACAGCTTCATGCAGTTTTTATGGCATTTTTAATCACTGCTATCTTTTCCAAGATGAAACCCAGAACTTTTAGCTTATTTAATCATGGAACTTCTGTTACTCTACACAACCTTCTATGCATTGTCATTGATGATAAGAAAGTTCACCCATGGCACTCTATTACATATTGTACTTCAATAGCTCAGCCAAAGAAATTCAAGGTTGCCGCATAAATTGACACCACTACGTCAAAATATTTTTCTTTTTATCTCTTTTTTTACAGGTGTATAACCCAATCTACGAGGAGTACATAGATTTAGATGAACGGGGCGTCGTCAAGACTCACGACAAAATAAATCTGATTGTACAGGGGCCCGTTGAGGAGGTGGACTTTCCCTCAACGTTGGCAGCGTTTCCTGTGGAACCTGTCTCTGCTATCGGGTACATGCATTCTTTGCTTTGTTTAACTCAGCAACACTAACAGCATTTCTGTGCTAGATTGCAGACGTGCAATGGTTATATTCTAAACAAAAATGCCATTCAGACTGAAGCAGTAAATTCTGCTTTGCATGATTGTTAAGTGCCGTTCACACACTTGCAGCCGAGTAGAACGGAGAGAGACAAGACTAGTTTTTAAGCCTCTCGCGACGTCTTAGGACCAGCTCCGCAGCAGCAACCCGGTCCTAAGACGTCTCAAGAGGCTTAAAACCGGCCTTGTCTCTCTCGGTCGTTCTCGGTTACAAGTGTGTGACCGAGCCTTTAGTATGAAAACACGAGTAATGACTAAGGTAGTGATTTGGGCAAGTTGATAAACATTATTCATGGTGAAAACAGCTAAAGACGCAAAGACGATGAGAAGGGAACAGCTTCGTCCTGTCGTGTTTTATTACGTCTCGTCGTCATTTTTTGGGCTGTTTTCACCATGAATAACGAGTGATAAAAAATTGGGTAGGAGACTACAGCCACACAACCAAGACAAAGAGGTAGATCAGCTTTAAAGAGTGTATGAATAATTGGTATTAGCATTGGCCTAAAAATTTTTATATGTGAATATAATTTTGGAGAAAGTAAAGAAACAGATTGTAGGAATTTAAATTTATTATACAAGTTGTTTTATTTCACTGCCATGCTTTAGGTCACGAAGCCTTCCCACCAGGCTTACAGTGGGGTATACGCTGCCGGAACCAACACTCGACCTGAAGCAAGACCTTCAAATGGTCAAGGACCAAGAAAAGGAGTTAACCAATGACCTTCGCTCAAGGATAATTCATTGGCTGCATGT